ATCTCTTAATATTCTCTACATGTTAAATTTTATTGGCATTGGAGACATCAACACAGTCATATATCAGGGCAAAAATATGACTGGTCATGATTTACTTGAATTCCTCGGTTTAAGAGGATAAAGTTTTTTTCAGGTCTACGGAAGCGCTTCGAAATACGTGAAAAGCCGGAGGGATGATTTATTTCTCAGTTATATCAAAATGGACTTTCCAAAAGGAAGGAAGTTCCATAAGTCCAACTGAGTGTGCGATTATACAGAAAGCCCTGTAAGAGGAATAGCGCAAAATTTTGAGATGGAAAAAAGTAGAGACATATTTTAGTAGTGTGGTTTTTTAAAGTGAGTGACACGTATATGCTGAAGAGCTATGGAAACTGAGAACTGGCTTCCAACATATACGGACGATTGGATATTTCGATAAACATCAATTTAAAAATGCTTTGTGCATCGACAACCTTAATATCAGCTACAGATTCCACCGCTAACAAAGTAAGTACTTTGAATTTATTTTACAAAAAGGGCTAACAGCCCTCTAATCATGGTTATTTCCGTACGCGATGAAGTGTACAAAAATGTTCCATTAGTAAACACGATTTTGTGCAAGCACTAGACATAATAATTTATACTAATATTTCCATCACTGCATATCTCAGGTTGTTGATTATGACGTCCAATTCAAAGAGTCTGGAACTCAGTACACCGAGAAAATCCAGGTGGACACAAATAAACAAACTGAATTGTTTAAAGTTCCTGCTCATAATGACGTGGATGGAAGCAATATATTGCACGACTTCAAGGCGGTAAGTTTGTCTCTTACGTAGAGTAGAAGACACAGTTGTCGTAAAACATTAGAGAACAAAAAAGGACAAAAGAATGAGGAAGACAATGGAAACGATTGGCTCATAGGCGGTGTTCTATCGCGAGGTGTACTATGACGTGTCCTCTACACGTCATCATTCTGTGACGGTTCGTGTATTCTGCTACTAAATAGTTCAAGAAAAGTACAGCGAATTTGGTTAGTTGTTTTGAAGTTCCTGTTGGAACAACATATGTATCATAAAAAAGCTATTTTGCAAACACAACTTTAACGGCGGAACCGGAACAAAGG